CCCCGGGCTCGCGGGGCTGCGGCGCGGGGGTCTCCCCGGCGGGACCGCAGCTGCGCCCGCCGCTCCCCGTGGCAGCGCGGGCGCTGGGCGGGCGGGCGGCCGGGGCGTCCCTCGCCGGGGCCGGTGCGCGCTCCAGGGGCCCCGCCGCTCACCGCAGTCTCGTCCGAGCCGGAGAGACTCAGCCGCCGACCCGGTCGCCTGCTCGGTGCGCCGCCGCCGCCGCCGCCGGTGGCCGTCGCTGCTGCTGCTGCGGCTGCGGCTCGCTCGTCTGCTCCATGGCTCCCCCCGCGCCGCCGATCCCTCCCTTCCAGTGCCCCCAGCGGCCAGGCGAGGGAACGAGCCGCCGTGGCCCTGCGTCTGAAGAGGGTGGTTAGACGCAGAGCCTTTTCCCCAGACGGGGTCCCTCTCTTTGGAAAGACACCGGGAAATCGCTGAAAAGACGGCCTCGCAGCTGCAACCTATCTAGAAGGACCCGCGCAGAGCCATTACGATGATCAGCAACACAGAGATCTGGCTTTCTTTTCTCACTTGAAAATAGAATCAGTTCTATTTTTAAAGGCTTTGGAAAGTTTCTTTAAAAAGTCCCCCAAGCTCAAATCCACCTAGAAGATGCAAACTCGAATTCTTCCCCATCTTGCTATTTTGTTGTTGTTTAGTCTGACTCTTCGCGACCCCATGGACACCATTCCTCCAGGCTCTCCTGTCCTCCACCACCCCTAGAGTCCACCCACCCAAGCCGACACTCACCTCCCGGGTGACCCCATCCAGCCACCTCAGCTTCTGCCACCCCCTTCTCCTTTTGCCTTCAAACATTCCCAGCATCAGGGTCTTCTCCAGTGAGTCCCTCCTTCTCATTAGGTGGCCAAAGCATCTGTCCTTCTAAAGAAGAGCTGAGGGTTGATTTCCTCTAGGATTTGATCTCTTTGCAGGCCAAGAGACTGGGGAATCTTCTCCAGTCCCACAATTCTAAGGCATCAATTCTTCAGTGCTCAGTTTTCCTTATGGTCCACCTCTCACAGCCATTCGTTATTGCTATGGCAAAGAAGGGTTTCAGTTATTTTCGTCAATCGGAAATAGTATCAGTTCTCTGTGGAAAGGCACAGGGAAGTTTTTAAAAGGTCAGGTCCCAAAATTAAAGTCTATCTAGAAGATCCGAACAGTAGTAGTATTAGTATAAAAAAAGAGAAGAGTTTTCTTCATTAGCCCATAGAATCAGTTCTTTGTCAAAAGGCACTGGAAGTTTCTGTAAGGACAGATGTCAGTGCTTAGATATTTGTCTGCATTTTGGTTTTTGGTTTTTGGTTTGTTTTTTTTTTGAGCCAAGATTTTTTGGAGTCCCAGCTATGGGGTCAGGAAGTCCTTCCGATTTTGTAGCTGAGCATCTGCGCTTGAATCTCCTGCATCTCCACTTCTCACCATCATCATAGAGAAAACAGTCTTGCCTGCTCTTCCAAAGTCTGGAAAGCGACCTCAGAGAAGGGTGCTGGGGGGCTTTTGGGGGGCAAGAGTGCAAAGGGGAGTCCATAGGTCCTCATCACACTCCAAGTGCAGAAGGTTCCATGCATCTCCAGAGGACCATGGCCTCAGCATCCCATGATTCCCCATGATGACTTCTATTATTGCATCATTATTAATTGTGTTTATAGGCCACATTTTTCTGTTGCACTCAGGACACTACACCAGAGATAAACAGATACTTTAAATACAATCAAAGAACATTTGTCATATATATATACACAGGGAGACATGGGTTAAAATATTGAACCACTGGGCTGTTGATCAGAAGGTTGGCGGCTCAAAGCTGCGCAACGGGGTGAGCGCCCGCTGCTTTGTCCCAGCTCCTGCCTGCCTAGCAATTTGGATGCATGCAAATGCAAGTAGATAAATAGGTACCACTTTGGTGGGAAAAGTAACAGCATTCCGTGCACTTCACTGCTTAGTCGTGCCAGCCACATGCCCACGGAAGCGTCTTTGGTCAACACTGGCTCTTCGGCTTACAAACAGAGATGAGCACCAGCTCCAGAGATGAGTCCGTATGTGCAGGAGAACCTTTACTTTTACCAGTATTTACATACAAGGATCTGCACTGGTGGTCAACCATCGACAGTTCACTGAAACCAGAACCAGTGTGTGAAAGAGCATAACTTCTCAGCACCTGACAGCACTACATAGCCAGTGTGACATAGTTCTGGAGTCTTGGTTAGGGACTCGGGAGATACAGGTTCAAACCCCGTTTGGCCGTGCAGGATGCCGGGTAACTTCGGGTCAGTCACTGATGCTCAGTGAACCAGGTTGCGGTGAAGACCCAATAGTGAGAAGGAGGTATGTAAGCTGGCCTGGGTTCCCTGAAAGAAAAAGAAGGCAGGATACAAATATAAGAAATGAATGCATCAGTATTCTAAGTGCCTACTTCTGGTGGAGATGAAAACAGAAAGAACTGTGTGATTGACCTAGATGCATGCAGGTGCCTGCGATTTTGGACCTTCCGTCTTGGAGGCCTGTTATGAGGAGCACCTACCCTTCAACATTTCTCTCTGCAGTATGGAGAGAGCAGGGTGATCAACATGACCAGGGTACTAAGACACCTGCAGAGCATTCAGAGAGCACCTGAAAGGTGCGTGTTCTCCTGTAGGAGCACCCAAAGCTGTCTTACAGATGGTATCAAACAAATCTTCCATCCAACACAGTCTTTTCTACTCCGGCTTCCAACAGCTGCCGAAAGGTTTCTGTAGGGGGTCTTCTGCAACCCTAGTTCTCCAGCTCCTTTTCTCTGGATGTGCCAGGCAAGGAACCTAGCACTTTGCACATAAGATGAAGGAGCCTCTGGCTTTTCAAAGGCCCCTGGACCACCTTCCTGACCATTGGCTTGCTGGCTGGGGCTGAAGGGAGCATCTTGGGAGGGAGCCGTAGTTGGGAAATGGGCATCACATTGTGATGCCAGGTGCATTGTACCCTCTTCTGGATTGGTTGCTTTCCCATAGCCTGCCTGTGCCAGGTGACTTCGCTTGCCATCGCTCCTCATCAGTATATGGAGGACAGAAAATGGACCCAATGGAAAAGTTCTTCTCCTTGCACACTCGGAGCTTCAGCAACCCTGGAAAGAGGGAAGCGGGGTGAATGCACTAGCTCAGTCCAGCACATGCTCAGAGATGGCATTCTCCCCCCCACCCCCCACGATTTATGTCCTGCCTTTTTCCTACAAAGGACTCAAGGCAGCTTGCATCATTCTCCTCCTCCATCTTATCCCCACAGCAACAGCCCTGTGAGGTAGGCTGGGCTGAGAGTCTGTGAGTGGCCCAAAGCCACCCAGTTGGCTCCATGGTTGAGTGGGGACTCGAACCCAGATCGCCTGAGTCCCAGTCCCATGTTCTTAACCACTATGCCACGCTGGCTCTCGCACCACACTGGCTCTGTATTCTTCAGATACAGGCTTCACAAAAAGGTCACCATCGATTCTGAACATAATAGCGAACTCATAGAACATGGGTCCTCAAACTGCGGCCCGCAGGTCGGATGCGGCCCGCCGAGCCCATTTAGCCCCAGAGGTTTTGCACTTGCCGTGCGTGCGGCTTGCTCACGGGGAGATCGTTTCGAACTCACGCGGAGAGAATGATCTCCTTGTGAACAAGCTGGGGCCTCACCCTGCGCACCCCCCCCCCCCACTCGCCGTGCGCCCCCCCCCCCCACCACCCCCGCGCCTCCCCCCCCCGCCCCCCCCCCCCCCCCCACTGGCACCGCCTTGGCGGCCCGCAAACACTACCAGCTGGCCCCCTGCCGTAGAACATTGGTCTAGGCTCATTGAAAAGGTTAATACTATGAATGGGCAAAGTTTGACCAGCAAGCCAACGGCTTGCCCTTTACCGCTGATCTTCGGTGCTCTCACAAGCATGAGACAGCAGATGTACTAGGAAGGGGGAAAGAATGGAGTACAGGCTTACTTCAAGTTTATTTTATTTATTTTTTCATTTATTTATTTGGAATATTTTTATCCCATCCTACACAATCCAATTGTCCCAGGATGGCTTACAATATAAATAAGCAATAAATACACAATAACAAAATACAATAACAAAGTGTGACTGAGAATATAATAAAACCAGATTAAAATTATTTAAACCTTAAAATGTTGGACAAATAAAAAGGTTTTTACCTGGTGCTGAAAAGAATATAAAGTCAGTGCCAGGCAAACCTCTCTGGGGAGTGCATTCCACAGTCGGGGTGCCACCACAGAGAAGTCCCTTCTCCGGATGTTCACTCTCCTAAACTCCTTCAAGGAGGGTTCCCAGAGCAGGGCCTCTGCTGCAGATCTTAGGGTGGGAGGTATATAGGGAAGAAGACATTCCTTCAGGCAGCCTGGTCCCAAGCTGTTCCCTTTATGTGGGATGAAACTGAAATAATGAGTTTGTGGGCCCAAGGCAAACAGCTTTGTAAGTTTGGAATGGAAGTGCTTCTGCAGCAGGCCTGCTTTGCGTATACCTACATTGTTTGATTTAATCTCATGGCATGGCCACTTCCTCACAAGG